ATTTGTTGTTATATTTTTTTAATTCTCTTTGTAACTCTGTCATTTTAAATGCTTCTTTTGTGCATTGTCTTCTGACGCTTTCACGATTTTGTCATGCCTTTGATCATTTATGTCAAGCGATGAATTAAAATCTAATCAAGCCCTTGCCAGGAGTCTGAGTCTGTTTACAGAGGAGGTAACGTCAGAGCAGATGTGGGAGTAAGGGAAGAACTCTTGTTGCTGATTTTTTTGTAAATAAACCACAATTTACTGACTATGCCTGTGTTTTATTAGGAGTTTTTAAGAGAGCCCCGCAACACAAAAACAAAGACATAAAGACAAAAAACTCCCATAGAGCAAAAGGTGATAGATGTTTGATCAGGTCAGGTTCGGCTTTTCTGGATCCGTCTCAGTGTTTGTCTTTATCCTTCTCTCCAGGTACGAGACCGGATCAAAGAAGATGAGCTTTGGGTTGTCGGTGTCGGCTGGAGGGTGTCCAGATCCATCTGAGAACATTTCCACCCTGCGCGGAGTCAATGGCGGTTTTCCCTGCAAACAGATAGAGATCTTCAGACTGAATAACACCAGGAGCATACAATGGATGAAGGTATAAACAACCCCATGACATCCATCTGCTGCTATGAATTATCGTTATCTGCCACATCTACTGTTGATGTTTGCACTGGCTGCTGTGGTTCTGCTCTTGTTGAAACATGAGGGTGTGAATGATCTCACCCTGAGGTACTTTAAAGCAAAACTAAACCAACATCGGTTAGTAATCCACGTTCTCCGAAAAAGTCCTTCTGCTCAAATAGTTTTTAATCTCAATGAGTCACGTTCATTGGCTGTGTTTACGACAGAACTTTTATTTGTGGGGCACAACGTTAAAGAAAAGGGAGTAGAGATGATGAACAACCCAGTCATAACCACAGCCAATACACGTGATAAAGAAACCTCACTAGAATATTTACAGTAGCATCTCTAATGAGACATAATATATATTATTACAACTGTCTTTTACTTGTTTGTTATCTGTAATATTTGAACAAATACTTAATGTGTGTCCACGGGACGAATAACAGTTATTTACAAATCTATTAGTAAACACTTCTAGCTGGTTACAACTTCATTATGGTGTATGTATAAGTGTATAGTGTATGTTTTTCTGTGTCTAGGACTGCCACCCAGTGGAGCCCTCGTCTTTGGATGAGGACGGCTACATGCGACTGCTTCCGGCCTCAGAGGAGGATGCTGGGAAATACACCTGTCTGGTTGATGTTAGCTTCAATGGGAGGAGCTACACAGCTGCACGTAGCATCCAGCTGAGCATCAAAAAAGGTTCGTACTGTAGAATGACTCACACTCGATGGAAAGCTATTCATTATTCTCATTATTTGATTCACCTGATGAGACATCATTTCTTCCCTTTGTTTGCACCAAGAGACCATTTCCCATTAATTGTGGAATCGATGTAAGATTTCTATAATAAAGTCGTAATATTACAAATGATATCAGAAAGTTTGTAATTCAAGATTGCCATAATACTCTGTTGTAATATATTTAATGCAAAAATTTCAAAACATCTTTAAGATCATTGGGTCTGTGTTATCTTGGTTTGTTGTTTTCAGTAGTGTTGTAAAATGTACTGTGTTATTTTCTGTCACACTGATTATGTCTCTTTAGACCTCTCAGATGCAATAATTGCAGAGCCGAAGCTGCTGTTCCCCCATCAGGAAGTAGTCGTGGTTGAAGTGGGCAAGTAAAACCAAATTATGATCACTGTGATAAAGATAGACACACATCTTACAGCTTTGAGTTTCCAGGTGAACTGCAAACATGCCCGCAGGTTCATTCATTTGATGGGGACAGTGCTCATTAAATCAACAAGCCAGTTTTCTTTTGTTGTCCCAAGTCATGCCCTTGACTAAGGTGTGGCCCCTGTAAACTTAACTGTGATTGAGAATTAGTGTGGTAGTGCACCTTGACGTTGGTTGCCACCCCTCATTAAACCGAACGAACTGAGAATTAGAGTAAAATCAAGTCATTAATCAAATTCAAAATCCAACCTACCTCCTCAGAAGCAGTGAAGAAACACTCCATCCAGTCAAGGACACATTTTCTTCTTTCTTTACAATGAGTGTGAGGTGAAAGGATCTATTGGCAGAAATTGAATATACAATAATCGTATGAGGTTTTCACTAGTTTGTTTCATCTAAATTGTTTGAATTTTAGTTTTATTTTGCCCAGAAAAGGCCCTTGATATTGAAATACTTTATATTTACATCGAGGGGACCCTCTCTACAGAGGCTGCCA